TTCTAACTGCTTCAGACAACTGTGCTTGAGATGGTATCATATGGAATATAGCTATAGCTTTAACTACAAGATTATACAGACATACACACACTCACATCATCTGAAGAGTCTCTTGGGGCATTGTTTTCTGAAGAAGAAACCAGGGATGTGGGGTAAAATGTACTCTTGAGATAAGTAGTTGGTTTTCCCTTGGATTGCGTTCCTTAAATGCTCTTGTTGTTAACAGAATAGAGCCTTCACGGGGATACCATGGTAACATTAGTTAATTTGAACTTTAGAGACAAATTACAGTCACCCTGAGCTCAGGATGGGGTAGCAGGCTGCAAAGGTTCCTACTGCACTCATTATTTGCCAATGGCGACCGTGTCCCCCAGGGAGCAAAGAACTCACATTAAGGGCCAGGTATGGGTGTCAGACTGCAGGTGGCTCCCTTACAGACAGGAAAAGTCCATCAGAAGGTGTTGCAGCCTTGATTCTTTTCTTTAAAAAAACAACAACTTTTTTATTCAGTTTTAATTTCATTGTACAGTGGTACCTCGGGTTAAGTACTTAATTCGTTCCGGAGGTCCGTTCTTAACCTGAAACTGTTCTTAACCTGAAGCACCACTTTAGCTAATGGGGCCTCCCTCTGCTGCCGTGCTGCTGGAGCCCGATTTCTGTTCTTATCCTGAAGCAAAGTTCTTAACCTGAAGCACTATTTCTGGGTTAGTGGAGTGTGTAACCTGAAGCGTATGTAACCTGAAGCATATGTAACCTGAGGTACCACTGTACTATCACTTATTTGAATGGAGCTTATACATGAGAACATTGCAGTCAATTCTATTGTACAGATTGTGCATTGAAAATAAAGGTATTATTATTTATATTCTACATTTGAATTCAAACATTAACCATAATCATTCCCCGAATCCTTAGACTTCCCACCACACCTCCATAGTTTCCATTATCAAACTTTTCATGCTGCATCACATAATTTCTCTATTTTTCTTTTTACCTTAGTTTTTAATACATTTCAAGCGTTACTCAAATCTTGCCAAAGTTTTTTGTTGTTTACGGTGTTCTCTTAAGTAAATTATAAAAAAAATTATCTATGCCTTCTTAAAGTTTCTATCTTCCTGGTTTCTGATTTTCCTGGTCATTTTCGTCATTTCGACGTAGTCCATCATCTTCATCAGCCATGCATCTCTGGTTAGGACTTTATCTTCTTTCCATCTCTGGGAGAGTAGTATTCATGCTGCTGTCATCGCATACCTAAATAATCATTTCTGCTCCTTTGGTATCTCTGCATCTAAAATTCATAGTATAAAAGCTTCTGTTTTTTAAACAAACGTTATTTCAAACATTTTTTTCAACTCATTGTATATCGTTTCCCAGAATGTTTTTGTTATCTTGCACTTCCACCACGTGGTAGAACGTGCCTTCTTTTCCCTTATACTTCCAACATACATTTGAAGCAGTTCTATATATCTTTGCTAATTTTGCAGGTGTTAAGTACCAACGATACATTATTTTCATATAGTTCTCCTTCGATGCACAGCATGCTGTAAATTGTAAATCCTCCCTCCATAACTTCTCCCAAGATGAAAATTTGATTCTGCTTGGAAGAATTTGAGCAAGGCCATTTGACTGCTGTGCACTCCTGCTCAAAATCTCACAACACCTCCAGAGCACCCCCAGCCCAAAGAAAGAGACTAGTTCCTGACCACAGCCTAAGGTTACAGTTTACCAAGCAATCCTTCCTTCTGTTATGCAGTCCTCCTAAAAGTCTCCGGGACTGAAGTCAGAGGATGAACTTCTCTATACCGAGAAACCAAAGCAATCCAGACTTGTGAGGATAATTGCATTTAAAATTATATGTACTTAGATAATTTATTTAAATAGAAACACTTAGTTCACCAATTTATGAACTAGACCATTAAGACTGTCACTTCTGTTTTAATTTTAGAAAATTGTTTTATAAGATGTATGGTAGCAAAAAGATTCCTAAGAAGATAATTATTATAAAAATATCTGTTTAGGATAATTATGTTAGGCGAACAGTGTGTGCAGATAATGATGAATGGGGAAGGTGTGTATGTGTGTGTGTGTGTGTGTGTGTGTGTGTACACACACACACAGAGAGAGATGCTGCAATTTGCAGATGGAACTATATACTACATTGCATGTGTATATACTGAAAGCCTGACAGGTGCTTTCCTTAGGGAGGGGAAAAAAGGAGAGGAAGAGCTGAGCAGCTGCCACAGGTACATAAACTTGTTTAACACTTTCCCCTCCTGCAACCACTCCAGTCTAAAGCCTCAAACATCCAGTCACTTCCTCCTATTCCTGTTCCAAATGTGTATTTGGAAATGTGAGAGCACGGAATCACCCTAGAACAAAGAAAAGATTAGCGGAAACCATGTGAAACATTCCCCATCCGACGGTTCCTCAGCTCTGATTTGCCCCCTCCTGAAGTTGCTTGTTGCTATATTTACTGCGCCAAAAAAAAAATCCTAAATTGAAATCAAACCCCTGGCATAGTCTTCTTCTTCTTTTGTGATCACTCGTAGCCAAGTAAGATAGTCTTCCATAAACATGGTTTTAACAGTGAGTCCGAAAGTGACTGTGGATGCCAATTCTGCATCCACACGCCCTTCCACAGTGAGGACATAGGTTTCCGGGCGGGAGTTGATCATGGTGAGGGTTTGCCAAGTGTGCTTTCCTCAGCACATTTCTCCCTTTCGTCCTGAATTTGAGCGTCTTCAAAGCCCATGACACCTTTGGTAAAGGCTGTTCTTCAATTGGAGTGCTCACAGGCCAGTGTTTCCCAGTTGCCGGTGTTTATACTACTTTTTTAAAATTTGCTTTGAGAGAGTCTTTAAACCTCTTTTGTTGACCACCAGCATTACGCTTTCCATTTTTAAGTTCGGAATAGAGTAGTTGCTTTGGAAGACGATCATCAGACATCCACACAACATGACCAGTCCAACAAAGTTGATGTTGAAGAATCATTGCTTCAACACTGTACACTGGTATTAGTTGCTTCTTCTGCCATTCACTGCTTCACTGGTATTAGTTTGCCTGTCTTCCCAAGTGATGTGTAAAAATTTTCGGGAGACATTGTTGATGGAATCTTTCGAGGAGTTGGAGATGGCATTGGTCCATGTTTCACAAGCATACAGTAAGATTGGTAGTACAATAGCTTTGTAAACATGCATTTTGGTTTCTTATTACAGAATATGAGGTGGGGCAGATAATACACTATTAAGGAACCAATGGCTGCCTTCTCACTTGCAGATTGAAAGAACTGTGTCTGGATGTGAGGTGGCAGCTTGCATATTGCTTGCCAGTTCATTTCTAGACCCAATTAAAGGCGTTCACTTGTTGTAGTTGTTTAGTTGTGTAATGGGTTTAGGGGTTGCTCGTGCGTAAGTTGCAGCCACTCCTGGCTAGGTTACCTGGTTGAACCCTTTCTGACTGGACAGCCTCTAGCTTCGTGGCTGTCTCAGTCGCTGGCAGAATCCGTCAGTGGGCGTTTCTTGAACTTCTTCCAGCACAAAAGTTCTTTGACGCCTAGTCTCCGTCTAGTCTCCCTGCGTGGAAGCCTTCTGTGCAGCGAGGGTGTGGGCAGCGGAGGACCCGTACTCTCTCCGCTGGTCTCCGGCGAGGAGTCTTGGAGCCTCCTCTCTGATTCCCCCATCTGCCCCCCTTCTCCACTGGTGTTACGCTGATTTCCTTCCCCAGTGGACGGGCTGCCTGTCTCCCTACTGGGACCCTCTCCGGCATCCCTCTGGAGCCTTCCCTCCGCCTCTAGCTCCGATGGCAGTTCCCTGACAAGTTGTTTAGAATTATCTCTTGTACAAGCCATAACACAATATGTTGTTATTGTTGTTTAGTCATTTAGTCGTGTCCAACTCTTCGTGACCCCATGGACCAGAGCACGCCAGGCACTCCTGTCTTCCACTGCCTCCCGCAGTTTGGTCAAACTCATGCTGGTAGCTTTGAGAACACTATCCAACCATCTCGTCCTCTGTCGTCCCCTTCTCCTTGTGCCCTCCATCTTTCTCAACATCAGGGTCTTTTCCAGGGAGTCTTCTCTTCTCATGAGGTGGCCAAAATATTGGAGTCTCAGCTTCAGGATCTGTCCTTCCAGTGAGCACTCAGGGCTGATTTCCTTAAGAATGGATAGGTTTGATCTTCCTGCAGTCCATGGGACTCTCAAGAGTCTCCTCCAGCACTATAATTCAAAAGCATCAATTCTTCGGCGATCAGCCTTCTTTATGGTCCAGCTCTCACTTCCATACATCACTACTGGGAAAACCATAACTTTAATTTTCCGGCCTTTGTTGGCAAAGTGATGTCTCTGCTTTTTAAGATGCTGTCTAGGTTTGTCATTGCTTTTCTCCCAAGAAGAGGGCGTCTTTTAATTTTGTGGCTGCTGTCACCATCTGCAGTGATCATGGAGCCCAAGAAAGTAAAATCTCTCACTGCCTCCATTTCTTCCCCTTCTATTTGCCAGGAGGTACACTAGTGCTTAAAAACCTAAATATCTGAGAGATCACCTCCTTCCCTACATATGCTTTTTAGTTTCCCCGGTTCTGATTTTTTTGTTCCAACATCCTCAAACATTTTGGGAAGTGGTATTCTCTGTAGAAGCCCCTACGTTGTGGCATTCCCTTGCTAAGGAGCCTACTGTACAGCTTTAGACAAATGCTAGAAACATACCTCTTTACCACAATCCCAAGTGAAGGAAGATGGGGCAAGCTGGATGTCATATTTTTCTGCAAATGAAAGCACCAAACTTCCCTTGAACTGCAGAGCCCCATCGTTTGTTGGCCAATAAGCCTTAGGGAAAATGAGACATGGAGGTTCTAATCCCATCAAATAAAGTTTAAGTGCATAGATTCTTGTACTCTTTGTAAAATGTGGATTGCATAGTGCTGTACATCAGGCTGCAATGATATGGCCCACAGCAATCACAAAAACCCTTCCAAATAAGAGAGGAGAAAACAACAGCAAGAGCCAAAACAATAATATAATTTTATTTTCTAGAAAAGATTCTTGAAATGTTGATGACAGGATAACACAGTTGAAATGTTCTTCTCTGGGTTATTACTGTTTCCAGCTCAGGAAAAAAAACCCCTATAGATATATTCCAGGGTGGGTAATGCAATAAAGATTTGCTTGTCAGAAAATGATTTCGGTTATATTGCAGCTTTCCTATATCTAAAAGGTAGAGGAAAGGGGAAAATATTGATTCCTATTTTCAGAGCTTACAGGAGCAATATGTACAGGATCTAATCTTCATATTGGTATTTGCTTTTTAGTACATTGCAAATAGATTTTCCTTAACTAAACTCTCTCACTCAGACACCCGCTTTTTAAAAAACAAAACAAAACTTGTTACAAATCTTCCTCCAGGTGAAATTATTTCCACAAACAATGATATTTAATTGTCTGTCAGTTTGCTTGTAAACATCACTACAGAGTCTGCTTGGGAACGGTATGCTTTTAAGAAATATTTGATATATTATTTTTTGGCAGCATTATCTGCTAGAAGTCTACAAAAATAGTAAGTCAGAACACTTTAGCAGCTGATTGCCTTACAAAAGCAGCATTTAAAAATTTTTTTTTTTTTTTTGCCTGCATTTTCAAGATCAGACACAGGGCTTCCAAAAGGGTAAAAATGTTTGCTAATTCTTACATTTATCCTCTTGACATTTCTCACAGCTCCATTTAAGAGACAAGAGAAGACTGAATTGGATATTAAAAGCATTTGTTACTATTTCCCAAATTTAGCCTATAGGGAGCCAAATGTTTCAGAAATGGTGGCAGATGGGAATTCAGTCATGGTACCATCAGACTTGCCCTTTCTTTGCTGAAGATAGCTACCAAGTTAGAGGGAAAACTTTTCTCAGATGATACTATTAGGCTTTAATTATAACTTTCCTCATATGTGTGAGGAATCCATAGCAGTAACAGATTGTCTGAGAAATTAAAAGCACATAAACATCTTGGGGAAAGGCACCGGAAATAAATTGATAGGAGAAACTGTTTCAGTTCAGCAAAGTTCATGATTCTGAAGATAGGTACGCACTACCCAAATTTAGAGTGGAAAGGCCCATGGCATCAGTAGCTGGCACTGCGTGCCAGGCCAAAGCAAAAAGCCTGATCAATCAGGAGGGATCATCATATTGCCTTGCAATCACAGGGTTTGCTTGCTGTGATGACTTGGAATATTAGAACAGATTTTGTTAAGCTTGGTAATATAAACCGTGCCAGAGACTCAAGCCTCTTAGATAATTATCATATGATTGTAATGCTATGCGTACTTTCTTGAGAGTAAGTACTATTGAACTCTGTGGAACATGCTTTTACATAAGAATATTTTATGATCAGCTGCAGGATTCTACTCCTATCCTAAGTGAGTGTAAACCCCAGTGAAGATGGACTGGTGAGGGAAAGAATAGAACATCATAGAAGAGAAATGTCCCTTTAATAAGTAGTTCAGGGGAACATATGGGATGCGGAACATAGGGACACGGGTGGCACTGTGGGTTAAACCACACAGCCTAGGACTTGCCGATCAGAAGGTCGGTGGTTCGAATCCCTGCGATGGGGTGAGCTCCTGTTGCTCGGTCCCTGCTCCTGCCAACCTAGCAGTTCGAAAGCACGTCAAAGTGCAAGTAGATAAATAGGTACCGCTCCGGCGGGAAGATAAACAGCATTTCCGTGTGCTGCTCTGGTTCACCAGAAGCGACTTAGTCATGCTGGCCACATGACCTGGAAGCTGTATGCCGGCTCCCTCGGCCAATAAAGTGAGATGAGCGCCGCAACCCCAGAGTCGGCCACGATTGGACCTAATGGTCAGGGGTCCCTTTACCCTTTACCTAGCACATATGCAAAAGATTTCCTTAGTATGCAGAAGAACACAACTTGGTGAATAAAACAAAAATGACATTGATATATATAAAGACATCCTGTTTGATAGGAAACAGAATGTTGATAACAGTTGGTCCCACACAGGAGGCAGTGGGGAGCAGGGCCTAAGCAAACAAGAAGACATGGCCTTCTTTGTGCATTAATTGTGTGAAGAAGGCTTCACACAAGTAACGACAAATTGGGATTTGGGGCTGGCCCTACCTCCAGCCCACATCATGCTGTTTTCCCCTCCTCATTGTTGAAAGTAGGCGTCTGACAGTCAGGATTCCAGATTGCATGGAAAACTTTCATGTGTAGGCTTCCATGCTGAAGAAATCCATCCTCAATGTGTGGAATCGCTGTCCGAATTACATTTTCCACTAGTTTTTAGAACATCTGGAGGGCAGAAGGTTCCAAATCCCTTTACCAAATCTGAACAGACAGCCATGTTGTAGGAGTTCACATTTGGCTGGGAAAGAATGTTCTCCCCTTGTCCTACCTTTTTTGAACAAGGTGGCCTATAAATAAATTTAAATAACAAAGTAGAGCTATAAACTGCAACATCAAGGTTGGAACTCAGATGTTAAGTTAGAACAGATGTTAAGACTGCTAGAACAGCTTGTGGCAGGCACTGAGGCATAAGATGAATTCTGCTATGGTGGTGCTGGCCAGAAGCAGAACCCAAATGGCACCTCTCATCTGCTAAAGTTGACACTTTAAAGAGTCTTGCTGAAACATTTAAAGGTAAAGGGACCCCTGACCTAGTCGTGACCGACTCTGGGGTTGTGGTGCTTATCTCGCTTTATTGGCCGAGAGAGCCGGCGTACAGCTTCCGGGTCATGTGGCCAGCATGACTAAGCCGCTTCTGGCGAACCAGAGCAGCGCATGGAAACGCCGTTTACCTTCCCGCTGGAGCGGTACCTATTTATCTACTTGCACTTTGATGTGCTTTCGAACTGCTAGGTTGGCAGGAGCAGGGACTGAGAGATGGGAGCTCACACTGTTGTGGGGATTCGAACCACCGACCTTCTGATTGGCAAGTCCTAGGCTCTGTGGTTTAATCCACAGCGCCACCCGCATCTTGCTGAAACATTTAGACATCTCTTAATTCTGCAAAATGGGAAGGCTGATGGTGTGGATGTAAAATGTGAGGTAAAAAGGGTAAAGGGACCCCTGACCATTAGGTCCAGTCGTGGCCGACTCCGGGGTTGCGGTGCTCATCTCGTTTTATAAGCAGAGGGAGCCGGCGTACAGCTTCCGGGTCATGTGGCCAGCATGACTAAGCCGCTTCTGGAGAACCAGAGCAGCGCACGGAAACGCCGTTTACCTTCCCGCCGGAGCGGTACCTATTTATCTACTTGCACTTTGACGTGCTTTCAAACTGCTAGGTGGGCAGGAGCAGGGACCGAGCAACAGGAGCTCACACCATCGCAGGGATTCGAACCACCGACCTTCTGATTGGCAAGTCCTAGGCTCTGTGGTTTAACCCACAGCGCCATCCGCGTCCCTTAAAATGTGAGGTAGTGGATGCTAAATACCTGGTCCCTGGGGGTGAAAGGATGTGTCCATTTCTGTTGTCTCAGTTTCTCCTTTTTCCATTCTTAAATTTCATTCTTCATATTTTGCGGGAATTTGCTATCTTGTTTTTTAAAAAAATAAAAATAAAATGTAAATAAATAAATCATCACGAAAATATATAAGCATTTTAGTTGAAATATATCCTCATAAATACACCTAATATGCAGTTTTGACTAATGTACACATTTTTGCAAGCAATTTCCCCTATTATTATCAAGTTTTGCATGCTATTTTCATAAAAAAATCTTCACTTTCATGCACACTTCCCCCTAATGTGTGCATTTTTGTAAACACTGTATGGTTGGAAAAAGGCATCGCAAAATTCGGCTAAGTGAAAAGTCTGAAGGATACCTGTATTTCAGGTCACACATTGTTTCAGAAAGCGTGACTACAATAGATTCAGCTTTAAATCCTCACTGAACTGAATTTCTCCTCTACCGTGACCAGTCCTTATCTGAAAATATTTTCATTTACCTCTATGTCCTTTCATTGGATCTTCTCTCTCTGTGTGTGTGTGATGGCCTGGGAATCAGATTCAGAGGCTGAACCTGAGGAATCCCAGCCTGCACAGGAGTCCCTGCCTCCAGGACCAGCTGAGCCGGGGTTGGGGCTTGAACCTGAAGGGCCCTCACCTGTGCCGGATCCTCAGGAGCAGACACCAGCTGAATCTGCTCTGGCTCCGGAGGTGATCAAGGACCCATTGCCTGCAGGTGCTCCACTCTCAGCCCCATCAGGAGAAACTGAGGTTGCCTCTGGGTCCAGTAACCCTCCAGCCTCTCCTGACCTGCAGAGGCTCAGGGCAGAGAGGCAGAGGGAACTAAGTTCCCGCAGGAAGAGTGCTCGCCTCCAGGCCAGGAGAGGCGAGTCACCTGTGGACCGGCACCACCCTATGCCTCGGGGCAGATAAAAACCAGCCAGCCCCAGTCCCAAGTTCCGGGAGCAACATTGTTGGTAGCCTGTTCCTCCTGACACCCTGTCCTGCTCTTCTGCCAGAGTTCCTGACCACACCTGACTCCTTGCCTTGGACCCTGCTTCAGCCTTGACGGACAGACTCCATACCACACCCTTGACCTTGGACTGGACTTGGACCATGCTGCATGGTAACCCCCCAGGACCATCTCTCTCTCTCTCTCTCTCTCTCTCTCTCTCTCTCTCTCTCTTGCAGTGTGGCAGTGGAGAGATTTTGTAGCTGTTTTAGACTGGTATGGGGAACCCATGGCCCTCCAGATTTTGGACTCCCAACTCCAAGGAGCCCATGTCAGAATGACTAATAGTCAGGGGAGATGGGAGCTGTAATCCAACAACATTTGGAGGGCCACAAGTTCCTTATCCATGCTGTAAACATTACAGAATCCCCATATAGATATACCAACCCGCTGTGGTCATCGGATGAATTGATTATGCTACGTCCTACAGATATTCATCTAATGAGCACTTGGAGATGCGCTTTCTCTGTGGTGGCACCCACCTTGAGGAATACTCTCTCTGTGAAATCCAACGGAACAGCCAGTCCTGATATTTTGTCAGTTAGTCAAGATTCCAAGATTGTGGAATGAAAGGATAAAATTTACAGCCTGTAATGCTTTGAAAGAGAATATGATGAAAATGATGTATAGATGGTATATTACACTAGTGAAATTAGCTAAAATGTATAAGACAAATAATAAATGTTGGAAATGTAAAGAAAAAGAAGGAACATTTTATCATATGTGGTGGGAATGTAAAAAAAGTAAAGAACTTCTGGGAAATGATATATAATGAGATGAAAAAGATATTGAAATAGACATTTTTTTAAAAACCAGAAGCATTTTTACTTGGTATTATAGGTCAGGACATTAATAGGCAAGATGTTAAATTGTTTTTATATGCAACAACTGCAGCAAGAGTATTGTTGGCCCAGAAATGGAAACAAGAAGAAATTACGACGAAAGAAGAATGGCAGACGAAATTAATGGACTATGCAGAATTGGACAAAATGACAGGAAGGATTCGAAACCTGAGGGACCAGAGATTTACAGAAGATTGGAAGAAGTATATGAATTATTTGAAGAGCAACTGTAATCAACAAATTACGCTAGGAGGACTACAAGAAGTTTTGTAAGGAGAAATATACGAAGTGTTACAAAGATAGAGATATTGGTTATGAGTTTGAAATGTAATAGGGAAGATAAGAAATGCATACTGAGAGATTAAATTGGAAAATTTTCAGACAGGATTGATGGAAGTCAAAAATTTGAATAAGATGTAAAAGTATGTTTAATTACTGTTGAAAATGATATGTTAAAAAAAACTAATAAAAATTATATTAAAAAAAAAAAAAGATTCAGGACCCCTTGCTGGGCTTCCAACCAGTTTCTATTGATCTTTGATATGGCAGATGATTTTTAGAAAATTATGTTTTAGTTGACCAATTTAAGTTGTCAAGTTGTGCACCATCCTGTTAATTTTTTGTTTTAAGAGTGGTACATAAATGTTTTCAAAAAATAGATAAAAGTACTGGTGGGAAGATGGTGGGTTATAGGGCAAAGCAGAGTTGGTACTGAGCAGTTCATGAAATAACCGGAAAAAACCAGTTGCTTTTCTGCTGTTCCATGTTTGCCTGCTAAAGCTTTAAAGTAATCTCAGATTTCTGCACAGTGATTGCCTTCTCTCATGATTTGCCCCTCATCTACACAAATCCTCCCAATTTATGTTTTGTTAGCTACAGTTCTGTTCAATGAACTGATGCTAGGTTGTGATACTGGGCTGCATTAATGACCTCGAGGTCCCGCAATCACAAACTTCTTCCTTCCTTATAATTTGGCTGCCTCGGGGATGCTGATGATGGCAAATAAAAATGGTAATGGACATCAGAAAGAACATGATGGAATCTCTAGGCAAGTAGCTGAGTTTTGATAAGATGACACCTTGAATTGATGGCAAAAGATTGTACATCGTGTAATGAGTTTACGGCATACAGTGCTATCTCTGGCCAAAAATAGCAGCTCTTTCTCTCTTGGATAAACAAAAGCAAATCTGAGTGGAAATGGACACATGTAACAGAGAGATGTTCAATTTTTGTTGTCTTTCAGTGCTCACATACTTTTGTATTATTTCCAGGTGCTGGCTTCCTTCCCCATGCTTTAGCAGTGATTACTTTATTTGTAATATGAAGTGGTGCCAAAGCAAAAACAAAACAAAAACAGAGAGCAAACCTCAGCATAAACCCAGGCTGGCAATAGAACAATATACCTCTTGTTCATATAACCCTTTCTTTCACAAGCTCCTGTTATGGCGAAGGATAAATGCAGATGAAAAGGAAGCGGGTATAACAGGAATCCTGAAAAGTACAGCAATGGGGCAGGACTTGCTTCAGTCTGCCATTTGCCAATTGCTTTTCAAGTACTAGATCTATCCTCTGTCCTTGAAAAAAACGCATAATGCCCAACCAAAGCCTTTGTTATGTATGCAGATTATGTCACAACCATGTCAACAACCATAGTCTTGCTAGGTATTTGTTGTTATGAGGTGGGTCTCCCCACAAGTGAGCATTCAGTCATCCAAGCTCCTTCCTAAAGATTACAGTGGTACCTCGGGTTACAGATGCTTCAGGTTACAGACGCTTCAGGTTACAGACTCCGCTAACCCAGAAATAGTACCTCGGGTTAAGAACATTGCTTCAGGATGAGAACAGAAATTGTGCTCCGGTGGTGCGGCGGCAGCAGGAGGCCCCATTAGCTAAAGTGGTACCTCAGGTTAAGAACAGTTTCAGGTTAAGAACAGACCTCCAGAACAAATTAAGTTCTTAACCCGAGGTACCACTGTACAGTCCTGCATTCAAGAAGCAGACTTGCCTCCTCCATATTGTGACATGCTACGGGCTGGTGTGAGAGACTTCAGGGGTCCCAGGCTTCGTGCTTGCCTTTGGGAATAATGCACAGCAGAGACTATATCTTTATATATACGGTTTCTTTACACATATATACAACCTGAACCAAGATGAAGGGATTGCAGTGGTACCTCGAGTTACAAACGCCTCAGGTTACAAATGCTTCAGGTTACAAACTCCACTACCTGGAAGAGTTACCAGGTTACAAACTCCACTACCTGGAAGAGTTAAGAGCACACTTTTTTAATTTTGGAAGCTGCTTTGGTTCCGTTATTGTAAAATGCAATGCAATATATATATAAAAATTAAATATGATTTTTCCTGTTTAAAAATGGGTGTTGACCTTGTTTATTAAGTTGTAAGTCTTCTCATGTTACCTTCAGTAACTCAACAGTGTTGAGTTGTGGTTGTGCTTTTTACGCCTATTTGAAAAATGCCTTTGGTTAATCTATGGAAGAAGCAGATGCTTATTCAACTAAAAACATCTCCTATCAACAAGCAATCCTAGGGGATATCTGTGCACAGCAGGTCTTTTTGACCTCCAGTCAGAGGTCACCTGAACTGAGTTCTGGCACCTTTTAGGTGCGTTCTGGCACCTCTTTGGTGTGTTCTGTGCCAGCGCTCAACAACTTTGGCTGTTCCCCCTAAAAAAAGCTCAATAACTTTGGGTAGAAAAAAAAGCCCTGGTGCACAGTAATATACAGTAAGTATCCAATATGGAACAATTGTTCCTTGAGGATGCCTCTTGCACACAGTCTGTGACCCTATTAAAATATAAATGGAGATGGAGGGTACTTTTTGCAAGACTTGTGTGCCAAATGGGAATGGAATAATGTGGATTTCTCAGAATAGCTAGTGTAAACACAAGAAATACATATCTCATATGGTGGAGAGGCCCTTGGAGTGTTACCTCTTCTAAACTAATATCTGGAGAATCCAGGAACTCTCGTAGGGACTACTTGAGTTGCAACCATGTTATCAACACAGATATTCAGTGTTCTTATGCTCTTGGGGGCTTTTACCAGCCAGTGTGCTGCAGTTTCTCCTGTCCCATGAGTATTTGTTTCCCTTGCTGCAGAAGCAAAACCCTGGTGAATTCTATTATCGCTTGGATTTGAGTCATAAGGCATGATAGGATGAATTTCCAGGGGTCTCTGCTCACTGCTTTCAAGGAGACTCTGGGCTGCAGCACATAGAATCACAGAAGTATAGAGTTGGAAAAGACTCAAGGGTCATCTGCTGTGATGCAGGATTCTCAACTAAATCATACTTGACAGAGGACCATCCAACCTCTGCTTAGAAACCTCCAAGGAAGGAGAGTCCCACCACCTTCCGAGGGAGTCCATTCCAGCTCTTACTGTCTCAAAGTTCCTCCTAGTCTTTCCTTTCTTGTAACTTGAATTCATTAGGGTCCTAGCCTCCGGAGCAGGAGGAATAAAAAATAATAATAATAATATATTATTTGTACCCCGCCCATCTGGCTGGGTTTCCCCAGCCACTCTGGGCGGCTTCCATAGAAACCAAAAATACACTAAAATATCACACATTAAAAACTTCCCTGAACAGGGCTGCCTTAAGATGTCTGAACAGGGCTGCCTTAAGAGGAAACAAGTTTGCTCCATCCTCTATGTGACAGATATTTGAAAGTGGCTATAATATCTCATCTCAGTCTTTGCTTTTCCAGGCTAAACATACTCAGCTTCGTCAATCATTCCACATAAAGTTTGGTTCATAAGACCTTTGTTTGTCTTGGCCTCCCTCCTCTACTCACATTCCAGCTTGTCAATATCCTTTTCAAATTGTGGTGCTCAGAAATGGACATAATACTTCAGGTGTGGTCTGACCAAAGCAGAATAGAGTGGTACTATTACTTCTCTTGATTCGGACACTATACTTCTGTTGACACAGCCTAGAAGGGCATTAGCTTTTTTTTGTTGCTGCATCACACTGTTGTCTCATGTTAAGTTTGTGGTCTACCAAGACCCCTGTTGAAATTCATTTTGTTAGTTTTGGCCCAGTGCTCCAATCTCTTAAGGTCATATTGGATGCAGACACAAAACAGCTTGTGCATTCAAATGCCTTTCTGCATGGAGAAACAGCTACTTCTGGATTTGAAGTGACCTTCACAGAAGCCCTTCTCAGTAGGGGAAGCAGGGATGTGCCAACTAGACTTACCCCAACATGGTGGTCCCCAACAAGTCCCCACTCTTGGCATCCACTTGTGAACACTTCTGTACATTTGCACGTGCAGCTATATGAACAAATGTTTCCATGCAGTTTGGAACTCCCACCATGCAAGGCAAGCAGAGGTGGTAGGTGTCATGGTTGGTGTTTGGTGCAGGGTTGAGATAGGGGTGGTCGAAGTCCAAGGAAGTTCCACCTTCACCTCCAGCCCCAAGTCTTGTAATCTGAGCTTGTACCCTTTGCACCTTCTGTTCTGAAACTTTCTGAGCTCTTCTTGACTTTGGGGAGGGTGGTGGAGGAATGCTGTCCAAGGACTGTGAATCTGTTGACCTCTCTCCCCCAGTGTTTCTTCTTCTTCTAGCTGTTTCCCACCCAGTATTTCCTAGCTTCTGCCTTCTGCACTAGGCCCCTCTGCAAACCACTGTTCCAAATC